GAGCTGGTGAGATTTGAACAGCCGAACTGCAGAACTGCAGTCAGCTGAAGTAGCCTGCAGTGCTGCATTTAACCACTGCGCCACCTCGGCTCATGGGCCATGAAATGAAATGAAAATGGCTTCTTTTAAGCTTACACATTAAAAATAAAATTGAGCTTATTCAATTAATTGTCTATTTTGGTTTAATGTTCACCAAATAATCGATATATTAGTTATTAATTATTCACTCTGAAGTGAAGAGGCTGTTCATTGGCAATTTTGATGGGACTCTTTCTGGAGATGCATCTAGAATGTTTCTTTCTTTTTCTCCATCTGGGAAACTAATTTCCTAGTTTTTGCTTGAGATAATTCAGATAAAATTGCAGAACTGTTGGGCTTTTCTCCCACAGTAAATAATCTTGACCTCCTCCTCCTCCTACACTTCTTTCTAGAGATGTGTTCTAGTTCCAAAAATAACAGCAGATGCTAAAAATAACACTGCTTTTAAGTGCATCAAGTTAAGCTTTCACTATGATTTTCTTTAGTTATAAGAATATAGAAGCTTTTTTCACTAATGGAGGTTTTTCCCATGGGGGTAGATACGTGACAGAGGCAGATTTTTCTCTCTCTCATCAGTTATTTTGTCATGTTGGTAGCCTATGGATTATTACAGGATGCTATGCCTATCTTTCTAGAAGACAGAAGAATAAAGTCATAAAGAGGATTGCAGCAAAAACTTGCTATTAAAAGAGTGTTTTAATACATTTGATGGCAACGGATAGCATACATTGATAAGGAGTTAGGGAGTTATCATTGTATATCTAAATATATGGGACTAGAACAACTGTAGGAAAGATGTACCACCTTGTTTTATAGAATTCCAAAGGGGTTTTCCTTCAACAGCCCATTATAGGTATTTGTTTGTTACTGCCCATTATAGGTATTTGTTTGTTACTGAGTGCTAATAGATTGAGTTGAGTTGAGTTTATTATATTTCTATGCCGCCCTATTCCCCGAAGGGACTCAGGGCGGCTCACAACCAAGTCAGGGCTCAGGGGGGAGGGGTACAAATAAGAAAAAAAGAACGTGAACAAAACAATACCACAATTTAAAACACTCAACAACCATACCATTTGAGGGGGGACGACAAAAACTCATTAGCCCCAGGCCTGTC